TAACACAAAATTACAGGACTTGTTAATAAAATCTAACAATCATAAAGTAAATGTTTAATTTGCAAAATGTCCATCGATTGTCTCGAAATGACTCAAACTTCATTGTTCTTGCATTTTCATACAAATTGCATTTTGTTTCCATTCTTGACTGTTCGATCCTCTTTCATCTCTGCTTCCAGACCTTCTGTCTACGACTGACATCATATACTACTTATGTCAATATAAGTAGCACACATCACACAACTATCGCGTGCCTCTGATGTACTCGATTGTACACGAAAGCTTTCTCCAACAGATAATATCACTTCACTGAAATCATGAACCGATGAATATGTAGTGGCTGTGCTTCGATAACTAATCACCCTCGTACCGTTACCATATAATCTTTGACGGTGTTTGAAATCAGAAGGCAAAACGAAGCAGCTACTACAGTTTATTTAGCAGATAATTCGGACCAGACAGCAGAGAGGCAAAACGAATGAGCAAGCGAACTACCATTGTGTATGATGGTCGGCCTAACAACGTTTCTATGCCCGGATAAATAATGAGCGATAATTTTTTAGCTCCATTTGTGGACTAAAACTATACGTTTATTTTCACCGTATAATTGTTAATTAACTAAACTATTCTTATCGACTAAATGTTTTAAAAATTCACATTTCAATATCGATATATATATATATAGATATATATATATATAAATAGATAGATAGATAGATAGATAGATAGATAGATAGATAGATAGATAGATAGATAGATAGATAGATAGATAGATAGATAGATAGATAGATAGATAGATAGATAGATAGATAGATAGATAGATAGATAGATAGATAGATAGATAGATAGATAGATAGATAGATAGATAGATAGATAGATAGATAGATAGATAGATAGATAGATAGATAGATAGATAGATAGATAGATAGATAGATAGATAGATAGATAGATAGATAGATAGATAGATAGATAGATAGATAGATAGATAGATAGATAGATAGATAGATAGATAGATAGATAGATAGATAGATAGATAGATAGATAGATAGATAGATAGATAGATAGATAGATAGATAGATAGATAGATAGATAGATAGATAGATAGATAGATAGATAGATAGATAGATAGATAGATAGATAGATAGATAGATAGATAGATAGATAGATAGATAGATAGATAGATAGATAGATAGATAGATAGATAGATAGATAGATAGATAGATAGATAGATAGATAGATAGATAGATAGATAGATAGATAGATAGATAGATAGATAGATAGATAGATAGATAGATAGATAGATAGATAGATAGATAGATAGATAGATAGATAGATAGATAGATAGATAGATAGATAGATAGATAGATAGATAGATAGATAGATAGATAGATAGATAGATAGATAGATAGATAGATAGATAGATAGATAGATAGATAGATAGATAGATAGATAGATAGATAGATAGATAGATAGATAGATAGATAGATAGATAGATAGATAGATAGATAGATAGATAGATAGATAGATAGATAGATAGATAGATAGATAGATAGATAGATAGATAGATAGATAGATAGATAGATAGATAGATAGATAGATAGATAGATAGATAGATAGATAGATAGATAGATAGATAGATAGATAGATAGATAGATAGATAGATAGATATGTTTTGAAGTGTGTTTGTTGAGATTGCTCGAGATCGCTTGAGCTCGCTCGTTTCTGACTATTTGCAGAATATACTTACCATTCTATGTTTGGACTTCTCATTAAAGTTAGCGTGGCTGGGAGTTATCAATAGCTAGCTTACTGGTATTTGGTCACCCAGTATTGTTTCTCGTTCGCAGATAAAGAGAACACATGAGAGCTTCAAACCTAGCATATGTCCACACAGATTTAATCGCGTATATCTGTAGACGCGAAGTGCCAATGTTTACCAACTACTGCACAATGTTTGGAATCTTTCAGAATACCAATTTCATGAGTTCATATGAATATATTTAGTTAAGAGCACACAACAATTATAAGCACATGAAATTCTTCGATTAGTATCGACAATATTTCCTTCCACGTTTCGATTCATTGATATATTAAACCGTTCCATTATTCTTATAAGTCCCATTTGATCCGGATTTCGTGAAGTCATCAATGCAGGCACCATGTCCAATAGCAGTGTCCTTACCAGAGTAGTTGACGTCTCTGTGAACAAATATGAAATGAAAAGTGACACAAATGTTTGAACATCCATCTTAAGTGTGAACTTACAAGCAAATTAGAACGTGTATGAAACAGACAAAACGCAGACATTAACCATAATCATAAAAATGAATCGATCTTCAAACCTACTCATATATACGCCAGTATGGAGGCTGTCCCGTCGAATTATGTATCAAATGTACACAAACAGATTTGTTTATGCCTAATTGGTTTATCAATGTGTATGACAATAAAGCAATGAGAAACATCGAATTAGCTGACATTGCTTTTTCGTTTTGTTCTTGAGATGAATTAGTCGATTGACGCATTTTTATAGTTTTCAGTAAATGTGAGATTTCAAGAAATCAGAATTATCAGGGTCAAAAGTTCAGACAAGAGTAAAATGCACATTGTGATATGTGTCACCGTTAATTCCCATGTTACGTGATTATGTTTGTATTGTTGATCACGCAGCTTCATGAAGTTCTTTGAGAATCAGCATCATGTCAATTGAAACATGGGTATCATGCAGAATCTTTTATTTTTCATAGATGATCATTTGGTGAGTTAATGTATGAGTGGTGACTGGATGACCCTCCAAATACTACTTCATCTAAAACAATACAGCATTGTCAGAGTAGAGCTGTTTAATGAAATTTCGACTACACACATACGTTAAGAAACAGAATGAATAATGTATTAGTGTATTTTAGGTAATATGTAATCAGAGATTTCTGATTTAACCGTAGTAATATCCTTTGACGAATGAATAGTTAGTTCAAAGTATTTTTTGTAGATCACTAGAATTCTGTTGGTCTCATGACGGAATGATCCTCAACAGATCATCTTTGTAACTTAGGAATCGTTGTGCGGTTGTTCTCTACGTTCCCCACTTGATCGATATTTCCGGGTTCCATAACCGATAGTGTGTGGATGTGGTCAACAGACGAATAGCACAACCGTACAACGATCCCTGAATAATATTTCTCCATGAAACCGACCATGAGAATAAATCATATCTCTTAATAAGTTAATACTATGTTGCGCAATACTGATTTTCTTGGTGTAATTCGAAACAAGAACACCCAGCTGACAACTCGTCAAGTCAATTTTAACAAATGTGGCTGATTTATGCACAGTCGATTCATCCAAATTCTCTGCATTCCACTCGATCACACGAACACATTTTGTTTAATATTGAAAGTGCAAACATTTATAAAAACACATTCAAACGACGCCTACAAGTCGATAAATTTGTGTAATGCTTATTGAAAGATAAAATACATCAAACATAATAATGTTATTCCACTGCATGCCAATAATCGAATACCGTTGCACATACTTCAGTTAACTGCATGTCTTTTTGGGTTATTGATTCACTATCAAGTATACGTCAACCACCAGTTTCGAACAGGCTGATTCGTTATCGAGATTGATCAGATTAAACCGAAGGACTGCGTCATAGAGACATCATTTAAAACTGCAGATTTAAAACGAGCTATGTCGCATGCAGTTGACGCCTTACTGGTAACGGCGAACATGGTTCGAAATGCTACATTATCAAATTATGCACTCAGTTGGTCAGGAATTATGTGCATGATGGTCGACCAAACAACGTCCACAATGATGTATTAGTGTATATTCACAGAAGTGTCGCGCTGTTTTTGCCAACTACTGCACATTCCTCGGAACGCCTGGTTATTCCAACCTACGTGAGATCCCGAATATCGAAACTTCTCCACTCAGGTCACTCTGCTATGCGGCATATGAATTCACTGGCAGTCAGCTATGCAAATCGGCCACTGATGAATAAGGAGATTGATCGTTCTGTACGGAATATCTCCGACAGTGGGCTCAACGCCTTCACTTGAATCCAAGGAGAATGACCTATTTTCCATAAAGGAAAATTCATACTGAGAATCAATCATACGTATCATAGCAAAATTTCGGTTGATAACAAACCAGAAGTGAGGTGAGGCTCAAGTGAATTGAATTGGCATCAATAAGTTAATATTCTAAGTTTAGAGTAGAATATATGTGAACGAGTATTTGTGCACTTCATCCATAGTACAAAACATATTCTTGTTCAACAATGTGTTTTCACTCAAGTAGACAGTTGCACGGTTAGTGCTTAGCATACAGTGTATCAGTATCAGTATGCTAAATTCATTCAAGTGCTTTCCGCATAATACGGCTTGTATCAAAAAATGAAGTTCCCGCACTCAGAAAATGTCGTGTGTACTGCAACATTGAAACAGGTAACACGAGCATTTAAAAATTACTAATGTTCTGTTAGAAATCAAGCTCAAGATTGTGATACACAGATACACTCAGTTAACTCCAGTATTCTTCAATAAGTTTACAAACGATGAAGGGGATAGATCATGAATTTGCTATAACCCTTCACGAAACAATATTCCCTTATTAAATAATGTGAACAGGGGACTGAAGAAACCGATGAAAATGAACTGGAGCTGCTTTTGTGAAGACTATTTCATCACGTTCACAGTTTGTAAAATACTAACATTTAGGTTTGTCACTGGTGATTTCACTAAATATATAGGCTTTCGTTTGATGCATGCTTCACTTTGCATACCCTTTGCCATTCCGAGTCTGCACCTTGAAGTAGTTATAACTGGAAATGCAGTAAGTCAACATAAGAGTGTTTCGAACGATCCAGTGACATCGTCGGTGCTATTCATTAGCTCGAATCTGAATCTATCGAAAAAGAATGAAGTGATCTGAACGTCACCGCACTCATTTCCACACTTAATAGTGAGCTTAAAATAACTCAGACTATATAAATGCGTCAATCGACTAATTCATCTCAAGAACAAAACGAAAAAGCAATGTCAGCTAATTCGATGTTTCTCATTGCTTTATTGTCATACACATTGATAAACCAATTAGGCATAAACAAATCTGTTTGTGTACATTTGATACATAATTCGACGGGACAGCCTCCATACTGGCGTATATATGAGTAGGTTTGAAGATCGATTCATTTTTATGATTATGGTTAATGTCTGCGTTTTGTCTGTTTCATGCACGTTCTAATTTGCTTGTAAGTTCACACTTAAGATGGATGTTCAAACATTTGTGTCACTTTTCATTTCATATTTGTTCACAGAGACGTCAACTACTCTGGTAAGGACACTGCTATTGGACATGGTGCCTGCATTGATGACTTCACGAAATCCGGATCAAATGGGACTTATAAGAATAATGGAACGGTTTAATATATCAATGAATCGAAACGTGGAAGGAAATATTGTCGATACTAATCGAAGAATTTCATGTGCTTATAATTGTTGTGTGCTCTTAACTAAATATATTCATATGAACTCATGAAATTGGTATTCTGAGAGGTGAAAGGATGACGGGCATATGGTGTGCTTGATAATTTCAAAGATCTGATTTGGATTGTTTATCGCAGAATTGAAGTGATCACATGAAGACTACCAATGCGAATCGCATGTGTATAGGGTTTCATGGTGTGACGCGAATAACCCACTTTCTTCAAGAATGTGATGTGAAATAACACAACCATTCATTTCAGCACAGCCGTTCATTTTCCAGTTACGTTATTGGGCCTTCATTACTTATCTATAAACGTGCAGATTTATTGACTTAGAATCAACCAGCTTACCAAATTATTTACACATTTCATTTTCGACACTCAAACTGGTACTTTACTTACGCCTGTTAACCCTAATGGAGCACAGTCCGTCGACCAGCATTCTGTAATCCATTCTGTCCAGGGCTTTCCTTCCTAGTTCTATCCAATTGTTGTTCATTCTTCTCATGTCTGTTTCCATTGCTTGGCAAAATGTGTTCTTCAGTTTTCCTCGCTACAGTTATTCGTGATCACAAACTGGAAAAAATGATTATTTACAGAAACATTCATGATGTAACTTGTCATATTTCCTTATTCGTATTGTACGTTGGACCGTCGCATACAACTTCTAGTTGCTTTTCATATAGTTCATTTAGTTGTTGTATGACAATATCATTTCGATGGAGAATCACAAACTCTGGATAAAATTCTCTCAATAACATATTCTGACGTGATAAACTAAACAAGTCATACTGAGAACAGCCAATCTACTAATATTTAGTTATATATTGAATTTTAGAATCCTAGAATTCATTTTCTAGACATCACTGACATTGACGTTATTGCGAAAACCGTTCGTCGCATATTTGCCTACATCATCCAATGTTGACAGTTTTTGTACTGAGGAAGCTGTGTTTTCCTTTCTCTTCATCTGTAATTTTCGAATGAATGGATCACATACCATAAATCGTATGGAACATAAATGTTTGTTCATCATCTCGAAAGACTATATCGCATAGTAACTTCTGCGTAAAGTAACTCAAAGCATAGATTCAAAACCGAGATATTTTGACCTACATTGTTAAACAATTACACATTCTTACAATTTTTAAATAATTCTGGAACTGCGTAAAGATCTCTCTATCCTTAACGTGGATTTAAAAACAATACATAAGTCCTTTCATAGTTTAGTATGATTTTTCGCCTCGCTGATGAATGAAGTAAGGGAACCTTATCTGTATTACTTACTTGTTGGAAATCGTTGAAGCCTTGTTTGATTTCTTTTTGATTGTAGCAAGTTTGATCAAGCAATTGATGTCGAGAAAGAATGTTCAGGCCTACAGAAGTCATATTAGAACTACTTTATGCAATCGTACTACTACTATTAGCCATAGATTAGAAGCAACAAAAGCAATGTAGAAATTTTATTCAGTTCCTAAATGTAAACAGCAAACGGTAGTTCAAAGGATTCACCAACAAAATAAGTTATACAAATTATTTGATGTTTACAAATGCACGAATACCAGAAAAAAACAAGGAAGAAAACAATCTAACAGGCCACATCTTGATATCAAATTGCAGAATGGCTGGAGTCACCTCAGTCCTTCAATATCAATGAATCTAAAGAGACGTCATTTTAATCAGGGAATTACTTAACTTATACCATATAAAGCATGTATTAAGTATAGTAAGTATTAGGTAGTTGCACAAGTTTTGAATTAATTAAGTATGATGTTCCATGTTTCACATAAGATAATTAATCACTATCATATAGGTTAAAATGAAGTTTATAATAAGAGGAATATAGATATACACAATCTAGTTATTGAGTAGTTATACAATAAGAATATATATATATATAGAATATTAGTCCATTAATAGATCTCAGAAGTTTCTCTTAATTTAATATTCACTAGGATATAACAGTTTATTTATTTACTTTGATGAAGTGGCTTACATTAAGTTACAAAAAATCAGGAGTACAGTTTTCTACTCATTGGGATATGAAAATGGTTATTAACGATTGAATAGTTTTACAGTTCACTTTTGTTTGAACTGAAGATACCAAGCAAGGGTTTTGCAAAAATAGCAGTATGTTTTGAGAATCTTCCTTATTATATTTAGTGTTCCGAATGATTTCTAATATTAATCATCATGAGCTCACTAGTGACTGACTTCAAGAGGTATTTCCTGGAGTTCTAGTGTGAAGCAGTGACCAGTGGAGTTCAACCAGGTCTGTTGTGAGATAGTAACTCACTGGAGACAATGGTGGACGGTGGCGCAATTTGGTGGATTGGTTGAAGTTAAACGTTAACACTGTTGGATGCTGTCTGACTCAGTGGTCTAGAAGTTAAACGTTCACACGCGAGACCAATAGGTCCTGATTCTGAATCCCACAAGCGAGCTCATGGATGCGTACTTCTGAAGAGTCCATTACTAGAATGAAACAGATGTCTAGTGTTTCCAGGCTTCACATGGTGGTCTAGTTTCAATTGACTCATGAATTCAACTACCAAATTACTACAATCTCCACAAAAGCCCCTTCTCAAAACTATTTATTGACATTCAAAAGAAAATGAATATTTTCCAATTGAGTTATTCATGAAATTCAGTCACAATTTCTGTTTGTCACTAAAATCTATTAATGTTAGCAACATCAACAATTTCACACATTTTGTTTTACTTATAACGTTAACTATTACTTGTGTTAATAGTGTATTTTTGTTCTATTGGCTACTGTTATATGATTTACTATTCGTAGTTTATTCCCAACATATTAGTTACAGTCTCTTATACTAACACCCACTATTGGCTTGGCTTGGTATAATATTATGTGTTCCATTTTATTCGTGTGATGTGGTCTAATCTGCTTGCACATAAACCACGTATGCCTGAGATATACGATTCATATAGCGAGGGCTGATATTTATGTTCTGAAATGAGAATGCCAGACGAGAAGCTAATATACAGAGGACTACTAAGTATTCAGAGCTTACTCAGGGCTGATAGAGATTGACGTCATTGGTTATGCATAGGACAAGGTCATAGAAGTCGGTTTTCTGGTTAGTGACCTTGTCATACGACATCTGTGTAAGAAATATCACTACCCCACATGTACAACTGTAGTGAACAAGAACACCAGTGGGAACAATCTAACGTATTCAACACAAAATTACAGGACTTGTTAATAAAATCTAACAATCATAAAGTAAATGTTTAATTTTCAAAATGTCCATCGACTGTCTCGAAATGACTCAAACTTCATTGTTCTTGCATTTTCATACAAATTGCATTTTGTTTCCATTCTTGACTGTTCGATCCTCTTTCATCTCTGCTTCCAGACCTTCTGTCTACGACTGACATCATATACTACTTATGTCAATATAAGTAGCACACATCACACAACTATCGCGTGCCTCTGATGTACTCGATTGTACACGAAAGCTTTCTCCAACAGATAATATCACTTGATTGAAATCATGAACCGATGAATATTAGATCACCACTGAAAACCCTACGAGCGGTAGACAGCCATCTTGTCCTAGTACGGTGCCACGACTACACAAGTGGATTCCGAACCCAGGACCCTCCGTCTCGCACGCGAACGCCCAGCTTTTAGACCACAGAAATGCTATCAAAAAGTACTTGTGTTTAACTTTAACCAATCTACGATGCACAACATACATAATATTATGCCTGCTTCGTTGTGATTTTTAACTCTATCACCTCCAATATAGATGCATCCTGCAATTATTGGAGAGCAATCTACATCTGCGGTGAGCCCTGTTTTTGTGATAACACGTATATCAGGACAAATTTATCCATCATGAGGCCTAGTTCAAACTTTTTATTTCTCAGACTAAGAGATTTTGCTTAGCACATGTTCAAGGTGTTTTAAGAAACACTTGTTCTTTACACACAGGCGTCGGAAACATTAGCTACCAAGACTTCACTACCCAAAAACTTTGAATCTTAGGATTTGTCTCGCCATTTTACTTTCGGGTATTTAACTCAATAATAGAAGTTTTCCACTTTATTCGACCAATCTGATAAAATAAAAGTGTTTTACTACGTCTCTTGTATGAGTTATCTAGTATAAGGTCCCTTTTTAAAAAACTTTTGAGTACTAACTTCAAGATTCTTTTTGTTTGTGTCTGGCTACCAACCCACTTACCTAGTCTTTTAACTTCAGTAATACGTAATTTAAAACCTTTTCTGGCAGTACATTTCTGATGACCGATTCCACCAACTCGAGATCATGTGAATGTCTTTTAGCAGTGTCGTTTTCTCTTGATTCTTTCAAATTCTCAATAATAAAACTAGGAACAGATTTGACTTCTTTGAGGGTCGTGCTCACAGCTTTCATTTAGGTTGTCATTTATTTCTTGTTAACTGCTGAAATTATCACCTTGGTTGTCCTCCTGGTTTCAACTTTTGAACGAATCCGTTAATTTGTAATATCCAGTTGTTATTGTGAGAGAGGTTTCCTGTCTACACATCACATAGATGCATTCATCGTATCAGCAGTTTTTAGAAAAGATTCGCTTTCGATGAACGGTTTTCTCCTTGTCTCGACAGTGCAGGACTTATTACGGTTACACTTTATGGTTATGACAAGAGTTGTCTCCTCTATAAATGTATCGACAATTGTCTAAAACTTTGCGTCATATTATCATGGCTGTATGAATGTGTAGTATCAGTTTCTATGTTAAATCCGCATAGCTTATTCTAGATTCCAGACAGGAGAATCTATACATTCTTCTTGAATTATGTTTTGACCTTGTTAATTAATTATTCACCAACCTTGACTGTTTTTATATGAGCGTAAGTTAATTTAAAACGCTTAACTAGGTTAAGAGCTATTAGTTACCTGAATTTCGGTCGTTTATATACCTATCGATGGTTTGTAAACGTATTCGCAAAATATAAAGCACCAATTTCAAATCTGTTCGATCATTGTTTAATTAAAGCAAGTTTGGTCTCACTGAACTCTGAGAAAACCACAAAGATGGTAAT